TGATTGATTGAATGATTGCTATTTGTTGATTGATTGATGTTTGCTGTTTGTTGATTGATTGCTTGATTGCTTGATTGCTTGTTGTTTGTTGATTGCTATCAAACTTTGGTATTTGTAGTTCCTGATCTTAGGTAACAGACCTTGCACTATTCTTTTTTCTGAACTTTTTTGTGATTATGCAATGCTTTTCTAAGTATTTAAGGTACAAACATGTTGATATGGACACATCCCATTTGCTCTTTATTGTGTTGCTAAGGACACTGATGGGTTGAGTTGGCATATAGTGCAGGTATATTTACATTCTGTACATTTTGTGATGCTGATGCCTGTAGTCCCAAAGTGTTTATTTACCCAAATTTTGCTACTGGAACTTTTGGTTTTAGATATTGGCACCTGATATTTGAATGGATGTTTTCATGATGCCTAATTTGATTCATTATCGTTGTTCTGATGGTGTGCTACTGGTGTTTTAACTGAAGCCGTGGATCGCTCATCAACCTGGTATGTGTTTCGATGATAATCCCTCTCGAATTTTACTCGTTCCTATATTTTACACAAATGTTTATCTCATGGCTGGTAATGGTAACCTTATGAATGCATAGCCCACATTTTAGCTAGTTATATAGTAATGCCATACTTGCTTGGATGATGTTTTATATATGCAAGTGTGGTGAGCTCATATATTTTGTCGGAATCTATCTATGCAGCTGAGCTCTTTCTGGATAGGACAGAGGTACAATATTTACATCCATGGCAGAAGGTTCTTAACCCTGAACTCATCAAAGGTCCTTGGACTCAAGAGGTTTGGCACTGCACTCCTGACTTTGCTCGAAAAACAAACCTTTTGCACATTTTATAGTTATATTTATGATTATGATATTTTTTCTACAGGAAGATGACAAAATTATTGATCTTGTAAGAAAGTATGGACCAACAAAATGGTCTCATTGCAAGGACCTGCAGAAGGACCCTCCCACCTCAGTGCAGGTGATTTCCCCTCTGTCCCTTTTGATTCCGTCTAGATCTTGCCCCGAATTGATGAGCGCGCCGTTGGCGTGGCCTGGTTGTTAACTGTTGTTACTGGTCATGGGGGTTAGGTTGTCGATTATTTAGCTGTGCTCTTGCAGTGCTTTTAGGTTTGCTGGATTGATTCGTGGAGAATACTGCTTATGAACTGTACATGGACTACTAATATGATTGACTCATGTCAAGTGTGTGATGTATCTTCTGAGCAGGACATTTAAAAAAACCCTTGGATTTTGTTCTGTTAGGTTATAAAGTATGCCAACCTTATTACAATTTACAGTCAGTACCAGTACCACATGGGCAGAACATGCACCACCCTGTAGCACTATATGCTATCTTAACTGCCATAACCAAAAGAAATTAAAATTGCCAAGCACTTCACATTTTATATGGACAGTTAGGCATGACTAGCACTATATAAGAAACATAAACAGTTCCAATCTAATCTGTTAGGCATGGACTAGACTATTTAAGAAACTTAAGCAGTACCAACCAAATAAATAGGGAGAATTTTCGAGAGTGAACTATGTTTTAGGAGGTGAGGTGGCAATGGTCACCTGTCTTCCTTAGTCTATTAACGCATACTGGAATAAGTATAATTACTGAAACAACTTCAGCATTCATAATGTGTGTAAACCTGATGTTCTGTGTTTTTGTGGAGAATAAGTGGCTTTAGTGGATGTCCTGGCCTCCTGGGTGACTTGATGTTTTCTAATACAACAGTTGGTTCCACTAACCTCTTGAAATTAAGAATAATGAACTTTGAATTATTCTAATCATTGTACTGGACGGGTATATGATGATTGTTCACACATATAATTTCATGCCTAATTCTGAACTTGTTCACAGATAACTAAAGGAGAAAATTCCTTATTTGACACTATCTTAAAATCTGCTTCCTTATTTGACACTGGAAAAGTTTTTCTTCCCTATTTGACACAAGTTCTAAATTTTATTTCCTATATGACATTTTCGTCCATTTTGAGCCTAAATGACACCTGAGAAGACTCTTTTACCCCTCATGTGGTATGTGTGTGGGGGGCAATAGCGCGCACACGCAGCAAATATGACTTGTTTCTTACTCATACTTGACTGGCTTCATACAAATGCTTGTCTGACTGTTGTGTAATATGTATTACTTTCCTTTTATTCAGGAAGGTCCTGTAGGTGAGGACATGTTCCACTGGCAGGCCAGTATCATGGGACCCTTGGACAGCCCGTTTACTGGTGGCCTATTTTTGGTGAACATCCATTTCCCACTGGATTATCCCTTCAAGCCCCCGAAGGTAATTTCTGGTGTACCGAGCTAACCTTTGTAAAAAGGGGTTCATATTGATTCTATGATATTGGAATTGCTGTTACACAAATGTCTTGGGGTCCTCAAACAATTAGTTTGCTGCTGCTTGCTATCTTAACATTCAGACATGAACATATTTCAAGTCTCTTTCCGCACCAAGGTGTTCCACTTCCACTTCCACCCAAACATTAACAGCAATGGCAACATTTGCCTTGACATTCTCAAGGAACAGTAGAGCCCGACTTTGACCATATCAAAGGTAATGATCTGCATTCCTAGCTTGGCTGTTCCATTTTTGCTTAAAGCTTGTTGCTTATATAAGCTTGGTTACTTCAACAACTTAATCTCACAAAAATTCTTCATGTATGTTTCTCTAACATTTACCCGTCTCTGTTAACAGGTCCTCCTGTCAATCTATTTGTTGCTGACGGACCCCAACCCCAATGATCCTCTGGTGCCTGAGATTGCTCACATGTACAAGACTGATTGGGCCAAGTATGAGTCCACGGCATGCTCCTCGACACAGAAGTACGCCATGGGTGGATGTATAGGCAAGCAATGTCGAGAGAGGTATTCTTTTGATTGTTCTATTTTTATGGTTTGCTGAAATACATTCCCCCCCGGGTGGGATTGTTTGCTAATTTTGAAACACACTAGTTACTTCCATTTGTGTATTTCTATTTGTTCTTAGTTCTTCTTAGCTATAGCTAAAGTCAAAGACGACAAACCAGGTGACTTATTGGAGTTGCAGGACTATAAATCATCGGTAAGTTTTTATGCTTTCAAATGGTCAGAGTTTGAATTTTAATCAGTTTGTCTGACTTGTTTTATACTGAATCCTTGATTCCTTGATAACTTAGATACACACACATGAATAATTACTTATGTTGTTATGATCATAAACTGATTTCTAAGTATCTTTGACTCATATGATGCTTTTTACATAACAGGTCATATGAATCTTCATTTGTAAATATGACTGCTGGTGCTGCCGATGATGTAAGCTACTTTTCTTGCTTCAAGAATAATAGAAATATCATTTACATCACACTCACATTTTAAGTTGCTCATGTCATTTCAGGCTAGCCATCGGCTTGGAACTAATGAGAGACAACCGCTGTTGCCAACTTGAAACATATACTTTTTAGGTATGAATGGCTTACCTCTCCTCCTCTCGCGTCTGGTGAAGCAATTCATCCTCGGTTCGTGCCTCTCCTCCTCTCGCGTCTGGTGAGGCAATTCGTCCCCGATTCCCTCTCCTCTCGCCTCTGATTCGTCCATTTAGATTAGAAGAATCGCATATGATTTGTCATTTTGCTCGTTCTCGATTCATCTGCCTTGAAGTGCGTCTAATTCGACTGATTTTGCTCGTCCTAGATTCACTCGTTTAGATAGAAAATCACGTTTGGTTTGATTTACTCGTCCTCCTCGTCACTTTAGAGTCGCTTGTGATATGATTTTGCTTGTCCTCGCTGTCGCCCTGATGCTCTCGCGTGTTCTTGGGGCCGTCTCGTCTGGGGTCTCTGTCCCTACGACTCTGGGAGGAAGCGGGTGAGCAAGCGAGCGGTCGGTCGGTCTGGTTTGTGAACTAAAGTCTGTTTGAGAAACTTCTGTTCCTGCGTTTCGTGTTCACGGTGGAGCGATATTTCCCGTGTTTACTTGTGCATGCGCTTCTGTTATCTAACGATCATGCGTTTCGTGTTCACGGTGGAGCGATATTTCCTGCGTTTACTTGTGCACGCGCTTCTGTTATCTATCGATCCTGTGTTTTGTGTTCGTGTCAGGGCGACGGTTGCAGGAACGATGGGTTCTTGGTTCGGAAATTGGAGCAGTGTCAAATCGTTCCCTCTATTCCACCACATGCGTTGTTCGTCGATTATTTTCATATCTCAAACGCATGTGCTTGATACTCTGGTTGCCCTTTGTCGATCCTTGTTTTACCGACAGGCGTGTGTGCTCCCATCCTAGATGTAGAGAATCCTGTTCTTGCCTGTTACAGTTGTTCTGATGCTGTTCTTTTCAATTGTTTATTGTTATCATGGTTTGCTTATGTTCCCATATGGCACGATTGATTGATTGTTGTTTGTTGTTTGATTGATTGGCTTGAGATGGATTGTTGTTTATTGTTTGATTGATTGGCTTGAGATGGATTGTTGTTTGTTGTTTGATTGATTGCCTTGAGATGGATTGTTGTTTGTTGTTTGATTGATTGCCTTGAGATGGATTATTGTTTGCTGTTTGATTGATTGCCTTGAGAAGGTACAAACCATGTATGCCGATTGATTGTTGTTTGTTGCCTTGAGATATTACATGTTTACATGACACGATTGGTTGTTGTTTGTTCATGGTTATTACAATTGATTGATTGTTGTTTGTTGATTGGAATCTAATTTTGGTATTGGTAGTAGGTAACAGACCTGGCGCTATTATTTTTCTGAACTTTTTTGTGATTATTATGCCTTCACATTACACTGCTCCCAGATTCATATCGACATGCCCACGCTGTCTGACGAGGATAAAGATGTAAGGAACTCCTCCCAAGAATCTCTCTTACTCCTTGTATTAACTTGGCGCTAGACTTTACATGTCATTTTTTTTCATGAAACTGGAGCTCCTTGCTGTAACCCATTATATGACTTTATGAGCATGCGCCACTTTCAGGTTATGAAAAAATGGGATGCTCCAAACAAGATTGACTTCCTATCTTTCTTATACAAGGCATGCAGAAGATGTGTGGCAAGTAAGTAACTCTATGTCGATATTTAGAGTGTACTACTTCAGAGTGCCATCTTTCCCAACAGATTGAAATTTTTTATATTGATATTTTGTTGAATATCACATGTTTGTTTGCACTTCATACTTTGGAAAATATTCCTAACATTGATAGTAATTAACATGTATTTTTCTCTATTGAGTACTACTTTGTTGTTCTTTAAGTGTTCTTATTTCAGAAGTTTGCTCTGCACAAGTGCAACATGGCTGGAAAACCTGCTGCTGTTACTTGTGTTGTGGACAGTATGACGGACAACCTAAGGCCTACTCGTGCAGATGCAACTGATGTGGCAAATGCAGTGCTGGATGGTTAGTTTTTGCCTCTTGTAGATATCTTATACTTGGTGATCCTGTACAGCTGCTCATTACTGCACCCAAACAAACTATAACTACACAAGCTGTAACATGAATCACAATTGTTTTGTTCGTAGTGATGCCATTCTCCTTGGTGCCGAGACTCTCCGTGGGTTGTATCCAGTTGGGATTTAAACGGTAGGCAGAATTTGTGCTGAGGTGAACTTTCTTTTGGAGGTATATATGTTCTCTTGAGGCCTGTTTGGGAGGGCATTTGTTGATAGGTTCCTTTTTGTAGTTCAAATCAGACTTCAATACTAAAATGTTACAAATAAATACTATTCTTCCCAACAGCCCCTAAATGTGTTCTCAACAAGTATATCTTTGGCACTCTAATGGAATCTAATGGAAACACACTCCTTCTTGCCTTTTCTCTCTTCATATTTGGTGATATATTTTCATGAATTGTTTCACAGGCTGAGAATGTCTTCAACCAGGATTTGTACTTCAAGCGAACCATGAAATACGTGGGAGAACCCATGACCCACATGGAGTCTATTGCTTCCTCTGAAGTGCGTATTTTGTTTCTTTTCATTCTCCAACCTTTTGTTAGTGTTTACAGGGAACAATTTCTGTCTCCCATTGATTGAATATCAGTCTGTGACACTTGGGTTTATAAGTCTGAAATAGTTCACTACCTATTATCTAGGTGCAGGCTTCTATCAAAGTTAAGACTTCGGTCATCATTTTCTTCACCTCATCTGGACAGGAGAAAAAGAGTATTTCTTCTTATAGGCGCCTCACCTCATCTTTGTAGTTTAATGGAAATTGATTGATATATTATGCTGTATCGAGTATCTGCAGGCCAATTGCCAAGTACAGGCCCACCATGCCATTCCTCGTCTAAAAACAAATCAATTGAAGTGGAGCTTCACAGGGGCATTTGAAGTATGTGAACAGCCTTTTTCCTCGTAACCTTTTTGGTACTTCCTGTGTGTGCTATATCTAGGTAATAATGATTCAGAACTAGCATGTTGATCTTCAAACTTTTAAAGATAACTTCAGGCTATAGTTTTTGTTAATGACGAATCTAACACTGAACCTTGCACAATTGTGCAACTCAATACAGAGGAACAATATATAAGTATTTGCCATGTAATGCTAGAATATTCATTTAGCATTTAACCTTCATGGTTTTGCCTTGATACAATATCCTTCTTTTCTCTCAGCAAAAGATTGATGATATGTATTGCTCCTTTATTTTTACTTGGTGCATAATTCCTACTACCTCCCTTTCAGTTTATAAGGGACGCCTATATTTCTAGATCATCAGTTTGACCAACGAAATATGTATTATATGAAGTATACCATTGAAATTAGTATTTGAAATAGGTTTTCCATGGTGTACCTTTTGTAGCATAACTCATATTTCATTGGCTAAATCGTTGATCTGAAAATATGCATGTGCCTAACAAACCGAAAGATTGGGAGTATGTTGTTCAACTGGACTTGCTAATGTACTATAGAATTTACCCTGATGAGAAACAGTGTGGTGTTCAACAAGATTCACTAATTAATATGTATTACCACGTGTCTAATACATCCCTATCTAGACAAATCCAAGACAAGTAATTGGGGATGGAGGGAGTACTATAGAATTTTGCCCGATAAGAAACAATACTGCTTATGTTGGACCAAGACTTGTCTCTGGTGTTTGGCAGTGTGCCACTGTTATAACTCATATCTGTTGCATTGTCTTCCTGCAGGCAAGACAATCACTCATAGTTAGAGGCCTCTTTCCCATGCTTGCTGATCCACGTCACCTGGTGAGTTAACCTGCCTTTGATCGGTTGGCTACATTAACCATTCTTTGTTGGTTCTTTTCAATTCTAGAATACATGACCTAGTATGTATAATATGAAAAATAGGAACTACCTATAAATATCAACGTCTTTGTTCTGAACATAAAGGGAATAATGGCAGTTGGCCTTAGTGCATATTCCCAATATGTGAAAAGTGGACACTTTACATACACCAGGCCAGTGAATTAATTCTGCTTTTAGGGTTTTTGCTTGCATCATCTTCTACTTACAAATGGAATAAACACTACACTAGACTGCAGTTCACTTTTGAATAGTTGGCAAGTCATCATAAGCTCGGTTAATCAGTACATTATTTCGAACATGACTGGTGGTAGGCTGGTGTGTTTATTCTGTATAATATAAACTCAATACTTGAGCTTATAAGCTAGTGTGCACCAGTGAGGCTGATGTTTGGAGGTTTCATCCTGCATCCACCTTGAATTATTTGGTAGCTAGAATTCCTTGATTTGGACCCAACAAGTAAGAAGCTTGGTCTGCCTGGTGATTTGTACTGCCATTGTTTCTCTGCCCTGCAGGCTGAATCTACTAGCACTAGAAATGAATCAGTGTTGAAGGTTGCTCTTGACAACGGCAAAGCATCTGGTGTGATCAAGTCACATGGATTACCTTAGCCATAATTTCTATAAGAATGTCGCTCATGTTACATGCCTTGCTTTCTCTAGTAAGTAGAACAAGAATACTGTGCCTACAAACTTGTGGGTATTGATGAAGATAATCACTTAATCAGCCTCTAACTAACTTCCTATTTTCAGGAACGAAGATCTGGATCACCCTCGCCCCTCTAGAGAAATCAGTTTACTCATTCAAGTTCTGGAAATTTTTTGTAGCCTTTTGAGTTTACTTCGGTCTTGCATGTATTAGCTTTCTGTTTGTGCCCCTATTTATGTATGTTTCTTGTGTGCAAGTGCTCCGTTCTGTGTGTGTGTGACTTGTGTGTGGCTTGACTCTGTGTGTGTGGCTTGACTTTGTGTGTGTGGCTTGACTGTGTGTGTGTGTGGCCTGACTGTGTGTGTGACTCTGTGTGGCTTGACTATGTGTGTGTGACTCTGTGTGGCTTGACTATGTGTGTGTGATTCTGTGTGTGCTTGATTCTCTGCTTGTGTGACTCTGTGTGAATGTTGCATTTGTTTGATGGTGTGGCCTGTATGCTTGATTGATGATTGGTGTGGTTAACACTGCCTTTGCCGGTCCCAAGCCCGGATGTGAAAATGTGGAGGGAGCTGCATTTACCTCCTTTGTATTTTATATATATTCACCTTCTAACATTTGTGGCTGATGGCATTCTAGTTTACTTAGACGGTTAGCTTGTTAATTAGTTTTGTGCATGCAAGACTTGAAATCTAGCTGATGTTACTTTCTGTGCATGATAAATTGTTTTGTTGTGCACCTTTTAAAAGATGTGGTCCGTCTTCCCCTCTATTTCCTCTTTTGGATGTTAAATAGCATTTGCTATGTTTCTGAATTGATTATCTGTTGTAAGATATGGTTAGCATATATAGTTCAGAGATAAATGTCTTTGTTTGCAGCAGTACATTTTATTCATTTCAATGGTGATTTTACTACAGTTTTTTGTGTGTTGGAACTCTTGCGGAAGTTCTCTGTACCCCAGTACCAATGTATATCTATTTCAGTGTCATTTTGTACTATAACATCACAGAAACCGGTGGTATATTTGAGATGAGTGATGTGATTAGATTGTACCAGACATGCGACTGTAGGAGCTTAGTGTATGAGTATGTGCCCCGTGACCGCAATTATCTAGTTACTTTAACAGGACTAGCTAGTTACTTTTGAACAATCAGGTAGTTTACAATATGCAGTTTTACTTGTATTCAGGAATGGAGCTTCTTCACTTCCTAGATGCAGCAGGTTGTCCATGTTGTGTGTTCAATTTCTTTGATTCACCTTTATTTTCATTTCAGCAGGTTGTCCATGTTGTGTGTTCCGTATGGATTAGATGCCGTCTGACTAGTTTGTCTTCGATGTCGCAGCCCCTCATTGGGTCTTTAGTACTTCTTTTGTGTGTTCAATTTTTAATCCCCATTACGTGTGATGCTCTTTGTTTATGTGTAATTTGAACCTCTGGTTGTGCTCTTGTGAGTTGTGAGCGGTGTCTCTGCTCGTGTGGGCACACATGATTTGAACCGCGATTCTGCTAGTGAGGTAAGCATAATTTCAGCGGTGTTTCCATGGGATTTTGAACTATGTCTGTGTTACGATCTTGTGAAAACATTGCGTGAATATTTATTGCCAATTGTGTGTCATGCTAATACTGCCTTTGGTTGATTGTGTGGCTTGTTGCTTAGCTGAATGATTGGTTGTGGTGTTTGCTAAATTTTTTTGTATTTTGTAGTTTTGTAGTTTAACACTGCCTTTGCCGGTCCCAAGCCTGGATGAGAAAATGTGGAGGGGACTGCAGTTAGCTCCTCTGTTTAGAACTTTCATGGTCTCCAAATATTTTCAATGAATAGTAGTGAATGAAGTGAGTAGAAGTCACACAATGTGATGGCAAGCTATTGAATGCATCCTTTTTCATAAAAAGGATAAAAAACAATAAAAAATTCAAAATTAAAATATTCTAAAAAATAAAAGTCTAAAAATATGAAAGATTTTTAAAAAATAGAATACTAAAAAAACAACAGACTCAAAATTATAGAAGATTCAAAATAATAGAAAGACTTAAAACAATAAACAGACTTGAAATAATAAATGACTCAAAATTATGAAAAGACTCGAAAACAAGAAAAGACTCAAAAGTATAAAAGATTCAGAATAATAAAATACTTAAAAAGAGGAAGAAACTCAAAAAACAATAAATAAACTCAAAATAATGGAAAGACTCAAAATTATAAAAGTTTTAGAAAAATAAAAGACTCAAAAACATTAAAGAGTCAAAATTATATAAATACTTAAAATCAATAAACAAACTTAAGTTAAAAAAACACTCAAAAAACAATAAAAATACTCTAGATTATAAAAGATTCAAAATTATTTATGGTGTACTAGGAATCACCATGCAAACACTAAATTAATTACCTATGACGTTGATAGAAATACATCACAAGCATTAGATTGTGCCCGGTCAATACAAATGGGCCAATTTGTGGTCTGTTTGAAAAAAAGGCAACACCAATACTAACTAAATGGGCTGGGCCAGTTTGTCGTGACGTGCCAAATATGCAAAATGCCACCACTATTTGAAAAAACAATATTGTGGTGGCGTTGGTTGGAAATGGTGTGCCACCAACTAAAGTTGGGGCTACCCATTTCTCTACTAGTGAGTGCATGTTCCTGTGGTAGCTCCAGGATAGCCAAATTT